TTATTAATGTGTTCCCTGAAGCCTAATTAACAGCAAGTGAGTGAGTTTTAAACCTGTCCTAGCATAAAGGAGTTCTTAGATTTGGGTATCATCATGAAGGATATGGATCCTCATGACAGGTACCAATACACATAGTTAAGCTCTAAAAAGAAATCTCTTGGTCCAGAAATTATAGATCTGAAACTTTGTTCATTAACAGTTTGAAGGTGAATCGACTTAGGGCCTGTTCACACGACGTCCGTTTTGTGTGCTGACCGGCTCCGTACGCTGCTGCACTCAAAATGCATCCCAATGTATCCCTATGTGTTTTATGGGCTACAGTTCTCACGTGTGCAGTCCGTTCAGCTTACGACAGAAAAAATACTGCATGTCACATTTTGTCAGGTCCGGAAACGGAACGGATACGCAAACGCGTCAAAAACGCACTGCGCTGCAGCTAACATACTAACAGCCCCACTCCAGCAAAAAAAAAACGCGGCCAAAAAACGCAATGCATCAGCAGCTCCACGTCTGCTGATCAGGACCTGATCAGGACCTGATCTCATGTGAACAGGCCCTCAGCCTTCAGAAGTCTGCCTGAATACAACAGCATCATCCCTTTCTTCCTGATTATTTATTACAGGTATTTATGCAGCATTTTTACATACTATTCATTCAAATCCATCCTTGCCCTCAAATAGCTTACAAGCTAATGTCCTTATCTCACATGCATACATACACGCACACACATCAGAGGGCCGATTTAGACAGGAGCCAATTAAACTACCATCATGTCTTTGGACTGTTGAAGGAAACCCAGCCATGCACAGGGAGAACATGCAAATGCCATGCAGATAGGGTCCTGACCAGGATTCGACCCAGGGACCCCCAGTGCTGCAAGGCAAAAATGCTAACCAACAAACCACTGTGGTGCTGGATTTTTTATATATTTTTGGCTGGCAGTTTACTGTTGTACTTGTTGTTCTAGTGCTGAGGAGAAGAGTGTTGCAGAACTGTGGGTGCTGGCTGTATCAGCTTAAAGAATGACCTAACATATTCAACACCGAGGCAACCTCTAACACTCGGGCCATGTCCCTCACCTGCTGTGCAGCAGTTTCCCTCAATGTGCTACATAACAGAGGAGAGGACTGTGTTATGGACTTAGTTTTGAACTGCACAGTGTGATATTTGGGGAACTTAGCACATGTGGTGAGCACTTAGTGATCACTCCTAAAGCCTCTTTAACATAAAAGGACAGTCTCTTTATTCTTCACAAACAGAAAAGAGCTTTTCATCAGCAAACAAAACACAAAGTCCACTTGTCTTCAGCATAACACAGTAACATAATTAGTCTTATATTCTGCAAATTAATCTGAACAGTCTCACTGACTAAAGATTGTTGCCCACAACTCCCAGTCTCAGGACTTTTGGGGTACTCCGCCACAGAGGAAACTGTTTCTCTGCAGCCTTTTATGCACTTTAGCACCCCAAAGACCCTTCCACACACCTGTGTAGTTCCAGCCACTCCATACCCCCCGTGTGACTCCTGCGGCTCTACAACTCCCGTGTGTGTCACTGGGCCTCTTTGCCTCTCCCAGTCCCTCTACTGTCTCTCGTGCTTCCAGCACACACGCCAGTAGGCTTGGCTCTCATGTGCCTCTCACACACACCATCTCCTCCACCGAACTCTGGTCAGTCTCTCTTAACAAGGCTGCCTCCAGCCACCTGATCAGCCTATTCCAGTAGTTGGCACAACCTGGATCCAGAAATCGACAGGGTCCTAGAACCCAGCTACAATCGAGAAAACATGGAAAGAGCTGAAAAGCCAGCTCTTTCCCTGTAAAACTAATTTCTTTCTGGGCCTCTTAGCCCCTCTGGCGGAGAGTCTTGGGTGACAATGCTGCCAAATTACCTGGTGGCATTGCCTCGCAAGGCTACAACAGTTAAAATGAATATTACCCCTTCAAAACATTTCAAATGGATGGGTATTGTCACTACTGGGATCATTCACTTCTAAATCACATGTGATAAGAAAAAATCCTCAGTACTCTATTCAGAAGCTATACAGACTTAAAAAATGTTTTTAACCACTCTGCAGTGAAGCATTATTATCCTCCTGAAAGAAGACCTGAGGGTCAACAGGACCACCAGGTATTTTTGAAAGAAGAAACAAGATTCGGTAAAATGTGTTCATATATATTGTTTTTCTTGGAATCCATAGATTTTTAAAATTTTGGGTAGAGTTGTACTTTAAGATATGTAGCCAGTGCAGACTTATACTTGTAGAAAAAGTCGCTCAAATGTTTAGAAGCAAACAGTAACATGTGTTGAATGAGGAAATGTATGATCTCTATAAATTAGGGATGCACCAATACCGGTTTCGAGTACCAATTTTTTTTTCCGTTACTTGCCGATACCGAATACCAGCATCCCAAGGTACTGTGGCCCAGCTAATCAGGAAGCACCCGGCTTGCTGATTGCCTGGGAAGCCAATGTTCTATTGAAAGAACATCGGTTTCACGGTCCCTCGTGACACTAAGAGGCAGCCTGGCTTCCTGATTGGTGTTGTAAAGGGGCCACTGCTCTAAGCTCACTCCCTTGATGGACTATAATCTCAATACAAATGAGTAAACTAAACATGAGATTGTAGTCCATCACGGGAGTGAGTTTGGAGCGGTGGCTACTTTACAACACACACAGGGACCATGGGGAATAAAAGTAGTCACCCTGCAGAAGAAAGGACAGTGTCAGCACCAGTTCAGAGATGATTTGAGGATCTACACAAATAAGAAACATTTTTGTTAATAGTTAAGATACTCAAATGTATTTTTATGATTGAACTCCTGAGCTTAGTTCCTCTTTAAGGGATCAAGCTCTTCAATAAGCATCCATCAAAAAATCCCCAAAGTATGTTGGTGGGTTGAAATGATTGGCACTATTATGGAGACTGTAGCTTCTCTTGCATTTTTCCTGTGTGTAAACCTGATGTCCTTTGTTTAAGCCTTGCCAACAGAAGAGTATTTACCCTTTACCTTTTCAGCTATGTTGTGTATGTTTTCCAGTGAATTCTAGTGTATTGGGCATACAGTAGCATCACATAGCCTTTGCTGGTTTCATTTGATATTTTTGTGGATAATGCAGCAAGAGATGTATGATGCTACTGGTTGGCATCAAGCAGAGAATGATATGACATACACGCTGGACTATGGATGAGGGAAAACCCTGGGATCTGGTACAAATGATCATGATCAAAATCCCTCAAAACAAATGGATCAGTTTTAGGTGGATTAATCATTTACCTAGGTAACCGGTCCATTTGTCGAAGTCTGACTACTGCTTGTTCGAGCTTTTCGCCCGACCTAGTCATCGAATCATTGCATTGACAGTACAGTTTGCAGATATTGATTTTTTTTCAGCTTTTGCTTTCATGTTCACAGCACTGTGAACACCCAGAGTCATTTCCTTTTTTATAAAGGCTTATATACTGTTGTGCATTTTTTAATTCAAAGAAAGATTAACCCCCTTTTTTAAAATTGCCTGGAGACATGTAGCGAACAGCTGAGACCTTTTTATGTGTCGTCAACCAACTTTTAATACACCCACGATATTTCAGTAAATAATTGACAATTATTTGCTTGCTTTATTCCTACCAAAACCTAATGATTTCATTGAAAAATTCCAACATATTCTTGTTCCAGTGTGTGTCTCCATGGCAACTCCTGTTGCTAAGGGAGGGTTCTCACAGGATAGCACTGCTTGCAGCTGTATGAATTGTTCCCTTGAAAAGTCAGGTAGTCTGAAAACGTTGCTGTTTTTGCATATGTTTCTGCTTTATAAACCCCTCCTGTGCTGGAACAACTAGCAGTCAATAGATATACCATTGCTTGCTAGTGAGGTAGCCCTGAAGAGAAAAAAAGATAATTAAAAAATCGTGAAATCACTAACGTCTTCTCTTTTTATTGCCTTTATATGTTATAAGATGCATATGCAATCTATATACTTAGACTTTTCACAAAAAGTAATACCATTTTGAATTGGTACTTTAGAGGCTAAAAGGCCACGTCATGTATAGACTTGTTTTTCTTTAGTAGATAACCATTTGCATTCACGTGTTTATTTAAATGTATTTATTATATTATTTATATAGCATTTTATATTTTCAAAA